AATATTCTTGAACCAAACGAACATCCTGAACCAGAGCCACGGATATTTCACAAAGTTGACCAAATTCCGGCTAAAGACTGGGGGGCTGACTGGAGGGAGCCAATAAAGCACTACATCATGACAGGTGAGCTCCCAAAGAATAAATGGCAGGCCAGGAAAATGAAAGTCGTTAGCGCGAAATTTTGTTTGTCGAAGGATGCGTTATATAGACGAGGTGTCAGTGACCCTTACCTATTATGCATTTTTGGGCCCGAAGTCGAAATCGTCATGAGCGAGGTGCATGAAAGATTATGCGGGAGTCATTCATCAGGAAGAGCTATGGCTTTTAAAGTTAAAAGAATGGGGTATTTTTGGCCCACTATGATCACAGATTGTGTTAAGTTCGCCCAAAGATGCAAGCGCTGTCAACTCCATGCACCATTGATCCACCAACCGTCGGAATTATTCTCCTCCATTTCCGCCCCATACCCGTTTATGAGGTGGTCAATGGACATCATTGAACCATTGCACAAATCAACTCGAGGTGTACAGTACCTTTTAGTCCTTACGGACTACTTTTCGAAACGGATTGAAGCTGAGGCGTATGTTGGTATCAAGGATTCGGCGGTGAAGACTTTTATTTGGAAAAACATTATACGTCGACATGGAGTTCCATACGAAATAGTCACTGATAATGGACCACAATTTATTTCACACGAGTTTGATGCCTTTTGTGCGGACTGGGGAATCAAAGTTAGTTATTCTACTCCACGATATCTGCAAGGAAACGGTCAAGCTGAAGCCGCGAACAAGACAATATTAAGCAATCTCAAGAGATGCTTAAGTTATCTAAAGGGAGGATGGTATGAAGAACTCCAACCCGTCCTTTGGGCCTATCGTACAACCCCTAGGCGACCTACAGGGGAAACTCCATTCTCTTTAGTTTATGGTATGGAGGCGGTAGTACCAGCTGAACTCAATGTGCCCGGACTTCGTCGAACAGAAGCACCGTTAAATGAGGAAGAAAATTCAGTAATGCTTAACAATTCACTAGATACCATAAATGAAAGGCGTGATCAAGCTCTAATTCGGATCCAGAATTACCAACAGGCAGCAGCCCGGTATTACAATTCAAAGGTTAAAAGTAGGCCGTTCTTCGTGGGAGATTACGTATTAAGGCGCGTCTTTGACAACAAAAAAGAAGAAGGTGCCGGAAAACTCGGTATTAATTGGGAAGGACCTTACATTATTACCGAGGTGGTTCGAAACGGTGTTTACAGGTTGAAAGATTTAGAAGACAATCCAGTCAAGCGACCTTGGAATGTGATCAACCTAAAGAAATTTTATGTTTAAAGCTATATGCATTGTTTATGTACATGAACTACGGTGTGGCTTGATCCCGAGATGGGTACGTAGGCAGCTCGACGAGTTCAGCTATTAATAAAAATTTGTTTTATTTCTTTATTAAAGGAAAAAGTTTCGACTGTGCGAACAAGTGAAGCAAATAGAAGGTTCGGCTAAAGCGAACATACAAAAGATTGGAAATAGAGCGTTATTTAAAAGTCGGAATGTCCCTCATCGTACACTTCGGATTATGGAAATCTTGTTGATGAGCAGAACACTTCAACTCCTTGACCAGCAAGATCGAGGATCGGCATCATGCAGTCCGGAATTCGAGCAAAGTCAGAAATTCCAAGCTCAATCCACTCTCCGGGGTGAGATTCAAGGATGTGAAGATCTCTTGACACTATATTAAGCCTGCGTTGCATCCGGTTAATCCTCTTCCGAAGTCTCCTCTTTTCCGACATAAGCTTCCGGTGTTGAAGCTCGAGTGCTTCTATGAACGCCGTCGCCGTTCCTTGATCTCTGATTGGGAGATCCCTGATCAAAGCACATGGGGCTCGGATCTGAGATCTCAAGAAGCCGCGAAGTGGAGGAGGCTGCCTGTTTGGCTCATTTGGAACATCTTCATTCATCATTCCGATTCTGGAGAAGTCGGGCATAGATTCTGAACAGCGAAGATTGAACTCCATACCTGCTAAAATGAAAAGAATGGTGAGAAGTAAAGGGAAATTGAACCTATAATTTATAGGAACCCCATATCCTTAGCAAGCTGCGGATTCTATCCAAGGAATGGAGTGATTCGCGGAGAGATTCATGCCCTCGAACAGATCCTGCATTAAAAGGCGCATCTCCGAGAATATTTTAAAAGAGAGGAAAGTTGCAAGCGTTTCCATAAATAAAAAGGGGGCCGAAGCCCATTACGAGTTTTAAAAAAAAAAAGAAGAAGTGAAGAAGTTAAAGAACATTTATGGGAGAGGCTCAGGAACAGGCTCCTTCATCGCCGGTTTAGTCTTCGAGGTGGACGCCTTGTTCTTGGCATCCACTTCGGAACTATCCCGAACGCGTTTCCGGCAGTTGCTGGCCTCCTCCTCCAAGTCCACTTCCTCTTCACTGTCGGATGGAACGGCGCAGACAGGGGCGTTCACGAGACCCGGGACTCCTCTGGCGCGGAGATACATCCGAAGCATCTTCGGGATCTCAGCAACGGAGTCGAAGTTCCGCCACTCCCATTGAAAGGGATCGCTCTCCAAGGCCCGTATCTTCCTTTCAACCCGAGCGATGCGAGCCTCGAGCGTCTGCCTTTTGAGTCCCAGCCGCTGCCTCTCCTCACACAAGCGACGGTGCTTGTCGGCAACCTAACATAAAAATGAGTAAATAAGACGAAACAAGAAGTTTTTAAATCAAAAACTTTAATATTTACCTTGTCAATAAAATCGCAAGCCTCTTTCTTCTCCTTCGAAGGAAAGTGAATGACGGCGTGAGGGAAGAGAACGCCGGCCGGTTCAAAGCCGTCGCCGGACAAGAAGAGTGGGCTGCCGGGATCAACGGGGGCTACTGTTTCGTTTTCCATTCTTAAAATATTTCTCAAGTAAGATTCTAGAGTCATGTTTAAATAAAGCTTAGAGGTAGGTGAGCCTTTATTTATAGTGATTTAGGGTTTGTCTTGGAACCATAAATCCATTAATGGTAGCGTGTCCGAGTGGTTTAAACCATTTTTGGAAAATCGAGAAAAGGCAATTATTGCATTAAAAGACGAGCCGTTTTCCTTAAGAAGGGAAAGAGCAACCGTCGCATTAACTGCAAAAGTTTCTAAGGCCCAAGCCCAATAAATTTTTCGAGTTGACTAAACCCGAAGTGGGGAACTCGCTTTAAGCCGAGCTCAGCTCTCGCATTCTAAAGAGAAAGGTCTGATCAGCCTAAAAATCTCAAAAGCATTGCCACAAGGCCACAAAAGGTTAAAAAGCGGGCTTTGCAAACCCGCATATAAATTTAACCAAACCCCCTTGGGTCACAACCTAGAAAGGTTTAAAAACCTCCTCAGGCAAATATCTTGTTTAAAAAAAAAAATAATAAAGCCTCCTTAGGCCAAAAATAAGTTCGAAATTAAGTCTTAAAATTAAAGGGACAATCCCCAATTTAAAGTGGACACAGCCACTACGGAGTGATCCCCACCTCGGACTCCGGCTCAGCAACCAAAGTTTCATTCACCTCCTTGACTGGTGCTTGATCAGATGAAGCTCCCTGACCACCCTCCGCGGTACAACCAACCTCCGGAGTGACCTCTGATACCATAGGAGCTGCGGGCGGGACAACGTCTTCCGTCTCACTTGAACCTAGAAATAATAATTCCAGTCAATCAAAGGTACAAGGTAAGAAAAAGGTAAGCCTCAGGAGCCAAGCGTTACCTGCCCAGTCTAAACCCGATTCACTTATAGGAGGTGATTCAGTAAAGAATTCCTCGAAGTCAAGCGGGTTGAAGGCCGAAGTGGAAAGAGCTGCCAAGCGACTCCGTTTTTCAGAAAGTTTAGTCGACAGCTCGGTCCTTTCTTGGTCCTCAGAGAAATCTGCTTCATGGATTTGATCCAGCAGAATCAGGTTGCTTTCGTGCTCCTTGATGTCTGACTCCAAGTCCGACCTAGCTTTCTCGGTTTGCATGAAGAGTACAAGTGGACCTATAGTGCGGACCGGCAATATCATCAGAGCGGGTGCACTCATCATTACTAGAACGCCTCTCATCGAAAGACGGAGACTCGGGTCTATCGGAATCGGAAGTCATTGGGAAAAATGAAAAATTCAAGATCCGGCGAAGAGAGGTTTTTGTGAAGGAAAGTAGAGAGAGTTTTTGACTAAAGCACAAAAGAAAAAGAAGAGAGTAATGGTGAAAAGAAGTTACCTCAAGCTAATGATGAAACCGCCTCGGAAGTCGTGTGGGAAGTGGGAAGGTTTTTCCCGTTTTAATAGTAATTAAACAATATACGGTCATAATGATGACAGATGTCACTCAGTTAAAAAAGGCTAGTGCCGAAATTAAAGGAGTGATGAGATTTTCGGCGGGAAATCAGAAAGATTCTCGAGCGCAATCTTTGGCTATTTGAGCATTTAAAGTCCTCCGAATTGGAATAGCACTTCGAAGAACTTGGGGGGCTAATTGTTGGTGTCGGATCCCGCACCAGAAGTACGAGACCAACCAAAGATTGCCACGTAGTCAAGATAATGGCCCGTAAAGAATGAAGCCCATCAGTCGAAGGAACGGTCGAAGTGGTTGTCACCACTTCGAGAATCCGAAGTGATTGCATTACGGCATGAGCTCGATGAAGAAGGCATGGGTAAGATGGTTCAAGGATACTTGGGCCATCAAGGCGAGGCCCACGAAGATCAGAGTCAACTCAAATTCAAACGTTGAGCATTAAAATCGAAGAATCAAAACGAACACATTTAAGAGGGAATAATTGTACTTAATTATTCATTTTAATGTCAATTCTCTATGTATAAATATAAAGGCCAATGGCCATGTAAAGGGATCTTCTTCCTAAAAACGAAAGAAATATTATAGCAATTTTCGTAGCAATTCACAAGTTTTTATACATTCATTTTTGTCCCTCAAGAATAATATTTCCCACTTAATAAAATACTTGAGTGTGTAAATCCGACATCCACATCCGCCACCGTCTTCTCCTCGCCACGCTCAATAAGTTATGACTCTACTAATTGTTAGTTCCTTTCTAACATTGCTTAAAGTTTCACTCTTTGAGGTTATTTAGTATACACAATGAACTTATTTTGTTTGACATAATGCCTCAATGTGAATTTTGTTTCTGATTCTAGATGTTTTATGAATTAAACTTATTCGTTTATGAGAAGGAAGCTAAGGAGATGTTAAAGATAGAAAATTTGAGGGTCTTGACGTCAATAAAGAAGATTTGTTGGATCAATCCCTTGATGTGCTCTATGAGAAAGTGTGTTTCTACGTTAAATGCTGAGTTTTTTTTTCTATGCTTTGCTTGATTTTGATGCAAACATTGATATTTGGATTAATTCTTTGTTGGATGTGAAGGAGTTCGATGAGAGATTGGCCTTCATTGTTGCCGCATTCAATAGGGACTTGCAGCATGGGTTTATAGAAAAGAGGTAAGCATTTGATTCTTTCTAGTTTAACAATAATCCACTACAAAAATCTGTAAAGGTTTCAGTTTTAATGTCCTTTTTCTAGGGATTTAACATTGTCTATTTTTCTTTTGAGTTTGATGAATCTTCAAGTGTTTGATGCATTGTTAGGTTGAGGTTTTTTATTTTTTTAGCAGGCATAAAAGTAAGAGAAAGCACGGAAGAAAGTTACTTCCACCAAAGAATGCAACTAACATAGAAGTTAAATCCAAATGTATCCGCTTTCTCCTGCAATTCAACTTTATTTTCTTTCTTGATTAACTCTCTTCTTATTGTTGAGTTTGTTTTCTTTATATTTAAAAGGTGTTATAACCCCTTAGCAAAGTGAGAAGCTGAAAAGAGTGGCTTCGCTACAAGTAAGAAAGGCTTAACCTTGAAGGAGAACAAACTTCCTATCACAATGCTAAAGTTTGCAAAGGTACTTCCTCTTATGTTTGATTACATGTTTTTGTTTGAGAATGATATGATGATTGCTAAGTTGTTTTGTGAACTAAATATTCGTTGAATGTGAAACCCCTTGTGTGTCTAGCAGGTACTAGAGGAAATCATCATCATTGGTTGAATGTGAAACTCCTTGCTCCCCTTCTTAGCTTGGGATCTTGATCAGCTGCTCCAAAACACAAACAACAGGAACAACTTGACCATGGGCGGAGGAATAAGGAATGCTAGTAAGGTTTTAAGAAGTTTTTTCTTTTCCCCTTATGATGTTAGTTTTAGTTTTTTAAGGCTAGGCGACATTTTAGTAATTAGTATAAGAGTTAATATGATGTTATGTATGATTTATTTGGTTAATGTAATATTACTTGTTGATGATTTATAAATTATAAAAGTTATGTATATGTCCAATTAAGTAAATTTTACAAAATTTGGTTCCAATATTAAATTTATTTTATAAATCAAATTAAACTTATATAGCGAAAAAAATCTACGAGATTATATAAAACAGCACTCAGCGTGAGTTACAATAAAGTATATTATAGCGTTCAATCAGTGCTATAATATAAAAGCGCTATCGTATTTAGGGGTTTATCAAAGCATGCCAAAAGCGCTATCGTATATGGAAGGTCTATAATAACTGGGGCAGAAACAGCGTTTATAATGAATGACGTATTATAGCAGTTCTATCCTGCTAAGAAGGGCGTGTTTAGATGTCAATGCCCATTCATACATGTATATATAAATGTGTACCAAACTTCTTAAATCCCACGAAAACGAGACTTTTTTACCTAAGTTCATGGATATACCAGAAAAGGTTTTACATCCCATTTTTCAACGACTTTCTTCCTTTTCAACAAATCAACCTATTAACGTACGTTGTACGTATTACTAATCTTTTTTTTTTTTTTGAACACCAGGTATTACTAATCTTCAATTACAATTTTCTCTTCAATTGTAAAATTAATAACAAAAGCTGAATAATAAAATTCCATCTGTCAAAAAAAAAATTCCATAAAATAATATATAAATGAAATGATTTAATACAATGAAACAATATTTTCTAAAACGTAACTCAAATATGTGCAGTTACACTTTACAAAGAAGATCGAATAAACTAGAGGAACTTTCTAAGGCTTTTAGATACTTTCATGACGTGGCAGTTCCCTATTGGTTGTATGATCTGCTTCTTTTAGCCGGCCATAAAAACTTGCCTTGACCACAACGGCAGGAATCACATGGGCCGCGGAACATTCCCCTTTTCCATAGTCCGCATCTCCACGCACTTAAGACGGCGCGTGTACACTCCTCCTCAAGCATATCTCAGCCAATAACCGTAGACGCCGTCTCCGTCACGCGCCACACTTTAACCGATTTGTCCAAGCTTCCACTGTACACTATCCATTTCTGATCTCCTTTCTCTCCGTGGCCTTTGCCGTCATCTTCCGCCTCTACCACCGCCGTCAAACACTTAACAGGTCCCACGTGATCCATCAACACCGAGAGACACGAGTGGCTACCATCGCCGTTTCTCCTCCACACGCAAATGTTCTTATCCGCTCCACCGCTCAACACCAGACTTCCGGCAGCGGCGAGGCAGAGCACGGCCATACGATGGCCGCGGAGAGTCCCGCCATGAGAAAGATATTTCTGTCCTTCCCAAAAATTAACGGCACCGTCAGAAGAACCACAGTAAACAACAGCCGCCGTTAAATTAACCGCTAACGCCGTTACAGCGTTCTCTTGCTTCATCAACACATTAACCAGAAAATGTTTCGTTCCTTGTCCTTGAAGCTCACGTTTCCACACTTTCAAAGTTCCGTCGGCGGATCCAGTGAATAGCAAATCGTCAAAACCAGCAGCCACCGTGTTGATAGCGTCGTCGTGAGCTTGAATCGATTCAAGACATGTTGAATCAGATAATCTCCAGACTTTGAGAGTCTTATCCCACGAACCGGAATAGAGTAAACCTAGCTCTTCGTTCAAACTGAGACACGAAACGGCGTCGTAATGACGAATCTTGAGAACATTTTTCCGGCGACGAACCTCAACGTAGTTCTTTGGATTTATTGATTTTGTCAAAAACTCCTTCAACGTCGGCAAGCTTCCGACTCGTGAATAACCTCCGGTTCTTCTTTTAGAGCCTCTCCAGACCCGGATTTTACCGTCTTGATGACCGGTAAAAATCCGGTTATCTCCGGTTATTACAATGGCTTTAACCAATCCACTTGTTGATTTAAACCCGGTGAAATCCTTGAGATCTTTCCAAACACGAATGTTCTTGGAATCGGATCCAGTGAATAAAAGATCTCCAGAAGCAGCCAACGAGTAAACATGACCGTCTTGTCTCACGATCGTACCGATCAAACCGTTGTCGGTATCATCATCATCGATGTTTCTGGTCTGGTAGATCCAAGGAGACTTGTAGTACGGAGAGTATGTTTGGTTCCACGGTGAGGGAGACATCGATGGAGTCGTTGTTGTGTCGGTGTAGTACGGAGAGTAAGTTTGATTCCATGGAGACAGAACTTGATTAGGAGACGAATCGCCGCTAGTTGTCGAAGCATTGCTTTGACGTTGTTGGTGGTAATGGACATCCTTGTTGGTGTTGTTGTTGCTACTACTGGGATTGATGACATCAACACCGTGGCTCTGTTCTTCTTCGTCGGCGGCGGGATCGGAGTTTAAGAAGGCGGCGAAAGTGAGTCTCCGGTGATGACTACTACTGGTTTCTGTAGCTATTACCATGTTTTCAAGATTACACTAAAGAAAAAAATTGAGTAGTTGGAAGGTTTTATTGGCAAGGAATTATAGGGTTTTAATTTCCTTGTCGTGTGGAGAATTTTTCGAGGGAAGAAATTCGAAAATTTCTCGGGATTTGGAGAGAAAATTTTATGTGTTTGGTAAGAAATATTGAAATGTATAAAGAGTGTAGAAGGAGGATTTTGGGATTGTATATATAGAGAGCACAAAGTTGTTGAACGGACGACGTGGGTGAATGACACGTGGCGTTTTAGACTGAAGACGTGACCGTCAGATACCGGAAGCGCCAGTTTTCACATGAGACCAAATTAACAATGTAATTTTTATGCTACTTTAGAAATAAAAAAGTGTTGATGAAAGACTAAATGGACGGTCGTCGAGAAAAGAAAGACGGTCTCAAAACAATTGGTGCATAAACTGAGATGTAGTATTTTTGGTTTTATCTAAAATTGAATTTCCTATATAAAAAAAAATTTCCATTGTTTTTTGTCTTTCAGTAAATTACGTGGATTGAGCAATGTGAAAATAATTGAACATGAGATGCGTCCGTACGAAGATTCGGGGTTATTTTTAGAAGTTGGTTGAATAAGAAAGAAAATCAAGATAACGCGTGTGTGGCTGTGTTGGCGGCTGATCATCTTCACACGTTGCATTAACATCACTATTCTCCAAGTGGAACTTTGATTTCAATTACTTGGTTTTTTTTCTGTTTTGATTAGTTTTATTTCACTTTCGACATGTGAAAGAAAAAAATGGTTTTCTTCCAGATGTTTTGACTTTTCTGACTCCTTCCATGAACGATAAGGAGCGCCTTTTAGGACTATATATGAAACACTAGTACCTTTTATTTAATCAAGTGTTCAAGAAATGTGCTCGATATCTCCATAATAAGCTCATAACATTTATTTTAAAGTAAGGTTTGTTTATACGTGTGATTGTGTGGATGACTTGGCTTAGATTCCTGTTTGCGAGTTGATCATTTTTAGTTACTTTTCTATCGATTTATGCATCCTTTTCTAATTTATCCATCATTTTGAAAAAACATAACATATCACGAATACCGTATATAACAAGATATTTGGTCTAACTAATATTATCTTGTATAACGTATAAGTGTTACTGTGTTACATTTAAGAAGGCTTCAGTTTTTATTTTACTTTGATTTTCATAGTACTTGTATAATTTTGGAGTTTCTTAGTTAACACATTATCAATGTCATCAAATCTGTATATATATTTATAAGAAGTTTGTACAAATGGTTTGAGACGAATATACATATACGTACGTATATATAGAAAATAATTAACTTATTATTATTATGAAATTTTATATACGTACGGATCAAAACGCCGACAAAAAGACCACAAGTTGCAAAACATTTTTCCTATGTGTTTTTAATTTCGAAAATAATGAGGGCAACCGAAATAAAATTTCATACAAGTTGATTGACTTTCATTACGATAAAGGAAATGGTCTTTTTCATGTCGATTGACTTTTCATTTACGATAATAAACAAAATGATGATGATTTGGAAAGTAAATTTTTGGATAACTGGGTTAATATGGGATCTTCTCTAATCATATGAGAATGTTAAATTATTTAAATTATCTCGAAAAAACATAAATAAAAACCGTATAGATTCCAATAGAAATTTCATGTAAATAAAAAACTGAAAACAATTATTGACAGTTAGCCGAGTTTTGACATTTTTAGGGATTCGTATAAAATATCATTTACCATATCTTTAAATTTTTTTGGAACAAAACTTACGGAAATCGTCAATGGTTATGGACTTGAACTATGGAACGACGGCGTTTTGGAATCCAAAGGTATGGTCAGTTATTGAATCCCAAAGCCTTTCACACTCACGCGACTATAGTACTTGCCAATGGACAATGGTCCACACATGTCATCTATCCATTTCAGACGTTGTTATTACGATAGCAATACGACACGAAATTCATATTTGAATGACTAATAATTAGGACAATTAAATAACATATTGCCCCAAAACAACATACAGTATTATCATGCATACCATTTTTAACTAAAGTAATGCACTATTGTTGCTAATTGCTATATTACTATTTTTACTGCTATCTTTTTGTTTATTTTACTGCACTGCCTGCTCTCTAACTGTTAGAATTTCTATTGACTATTCCGAGAAAAATTATGACCACTAGATGATCTTAGTCTAAATAAATCGACAATAATGACTCTAAGTGAAATATTGTTACTTTCGGGAACCATAACTAAAGTATCGTTTTAATCAGACAAATCTACATTTTTGCTTCATTAGTAGTAGTTTGCACTTTGCACGCCGTTCATTTGACACGACATGCATGCATTATTATGTGATAAGTTTTGAATTATTACACGATCAATCGTTGTCTAATATCTACATTTCCAAACAAAAAATCGTTGTCAAATTAATAATACCAATGGGTAATGGTACGTTTTAACAAAATGAAAATAAAAATACCAATGGTACGTGCGTATGCCGTCACAACCATGGCAAACGTACAAGCCCCATATATACCATTACCAATTAAAGAAATGCTAAGGATACTATAATTTCCCACGCCATACATAATAACTAATAACAATTATCATTTTTACAAAGAAACGCCATTATATCTTT